TGGTTTTTTTAGCCACCATCCCTAAAAGTCCAATTTAAACTTCAAGGGGGAGGGGGGGGACCCACAAATGACTCCAGGAAATATCCACAACCACGTCATCCGCTCAAGGCAGCTGCAACTCCCCCTATATTCACGCACAAGGGGGTGCACGTGAGAGTTCAGGAAGAAAGGCGAGCCGGCTCATTTAATTTGGCCTAGCGTGTAATGATACAACCCTCGCCCACGCCCTCGGCAACATTTGCTCAAACATTAGCAAAATTAGCATACATCCCCGGGATTTCCAGGTTTTCGCTCCCGCGTATACACAAGCGTTTATAAATAGAATTTCGCTTTACTTGGCTGTTGGGTGTATTTATATATATATATATATATATATATATATATGACACCGATGGGTGCGCAAATAAAAAGGAGCTATCTATGTTTTTTTTTTTTTTTTTTTTCCGCAGAAAACATTGTGGTTAAGAAGAGCTACGTGCAAGTACATGATCACATTGTCATATTCCTATGAGCATGTATCTCTTGAACTCTGCAATCAGTGAAATACTACAGATACGCAGCGACAATTTTCACTGATTGAAATATTATATAGTTAAAATTAAGTCGATTTCACCGATTTTACCCAGTAAAAATAAAATTCAGTACCCATGAGTATAGTTATTTCCCTGATTTAGTTTGAAAGGGTATTGTATAGATGCAAAAGATTGATCTGCTGAAGGAAAAAAAAAAAAAAAAAAAAAAAAAAAAATTTGAGATCCGCAAAACCACCCCATCTCACATCGAATGATGATGGCTTATACAGCTTAGGGTATACATATATTATATGTAAAGTCGAGATCGCGTGTTCTCGGTGAATAATCGTATAAGGACACTCGTGTCCCCTTCTATACCCCTGTATAACATACGGTATATACCTGTGTATGTATGTATGGTTGGTATATACGATGGTGTAGAAAGAGCACATAGGCCGGTTGCTATGCCTCTCCGAGCGTGGAGTAGGAATTAGCCCCCGTCGGGTTTTTCCGCGAAATCGGCTGGGATAGCACGGCTCGGCGAGCCTCCCCTATCGCATCGCGTGTCCGCAGGCCGGTTAAAGTGCAGACCAGGTAAGTCTCTGCTCCCGCGAGGACTTTGGCTCTGTGTGTGTGTAATACCTAATACTTTGCCCGTAGCTGCGCTCCTCGTCGTCCTCTTTCGCCTCGGAGGTGCGCGCCAATGGCGAGTCACGCTCTCCCTCGCTCGTGCACGAGATGTACGTACGTTGCAAATGTTGTACATGATCGCCGTCCGTGAAATGCAGGCCTGGGCGTCGGATAACGCTCGCTTGGGTCGGCAGTTGCGATTTGCGCGCCGGGTCACGGTAGTGTACCCATAATGTACCGGGGCTTCACCGTGGTATACCTATATCTACTACACTTTAAATCCAAACCTGTTGAAAATTACATTTTCACAGAGCGCGCAGTTGCGGCAGCTGTTTTTTTTTTTTTTTTTTTATAATCAACAATCCTCGACAACGATGTTTAAATATTCTCGATGATGTATTTTGTTAATGTGTAGGTATTTCGGTATTTACAGTGTTATATTTTTGATTGTGAGTGCCCCCGCGCGATACAGCTCGGCGAGGTTTCCCACTACTTTTATCCATATCGATATTTTAATTGAAATTTTGCTTCTCGGAGCAAAGAGTATTATACCGGTATACACATATATATATATATATATACTCGAGTGAGGTGATACGAATATCAATATGTTTGTGTCGATGTACAAATGATACGGTATTTTACTTTGAAAATAATTATTTTAACGAGAGGGTATAAAATATATTCATTACAAATGGAATGCAGTACTATTATTACCGGAGAAAATAGTTTTGCTCGATACGGGGATTTAATTAATGAAATACCTACCTATGCAGGCTAACGGTAAAATTTTACTCTACTAGGTAAAAATTTGTTGAGAATTTTATTTCATGAAAAACCCGTAATTCTGTTGTATAGATTGAACCAACTGTGCCGGGCATCCATTGCACATGTGTGAATTCACGATTTATTAAATATTTCGGGTGGATATGCAATACTTATATGCCAGAAAAAAAAAAAAAAAAAAAAAAAAAAAAAAAAAAAAAAAAAAAAAAAAAAAAAAAAA